GGGGCTGTCCCCAGCCCCTTTCTCTCTGAGCTTCCCTCTTCATGGTGGACTCCTCCAACTTCTTGGTTCTCAGATCAGGACTCTGTCACACAGCCCTGGTACCAAGTGCTTGTCTTCTGCAGATCTAATAGGGTTTGGAGTAGGACTAAAAGGGAGACCTTGGGAGATTCAGAGCATAACTAAATACACTGGTAACCCAGTCAAAATGAGAAAGAAGCTGAGGTTGAACTCAGATGAGTCCCCAGCTCTCAATACCCCTGAACTCTGGGGCTGAGAAGTTGAAAAGTGAAATCCCTTCTTTCTCCCCATAATCTTTGCATTGGATTCCTCTCCACTCTGATTCTTCCCACAACCGTGGCACTGTAAAGCATTTATCCCCATGTAACAGTCCCACTCCAGGGTGGCTATGATGTCCCTGGAGACTCCACAGCCCTTGCCAACCTGGCTGCCTCCTCCTCTTCCTCCTCCTCGCCTGCCATGACTTAATGACATGATACTTTTAGAAAAAGGGAGGCTGTCCAGGTTTTCCTAAGTCAGATTTTCTTGTGAGTGCTAGCATCGCTACTCATCACCTTAAGGCCCAACTACCTGGGCTCCAGCCTCCTCAATACCCATGCTCATGCTGCACAGATGTCACGCATCCTGATCCAATTATAACTGCCCCTATATGCTACAAGGTCCTGGCTCATCTTTATACCAGCCCCTCTCTGGGCTATGAGCCCTCTGGCCCTTCCCTCCCTGGGCCAGCTGTGACTGCCTTACCTCCCCTTAGTCCCTTCACCAAAATACCAATATTTCTTCTCTGAAGTCAGATGTTACCCAGGAGCTCCTCTCCCTATGGCTCTCAGGGGTAAATTTCCTGCCCAGCTTCAGCTCTGGGCTTATACCCTGATACCCCAGCCCTTGTAGGTCATATGACTCCTAATTGCCCCTTGGCACACATGCAGGCTGCTTCTCAGGCAGCCTGCCTCCTCTTAAAGTAGCAGGAGCAGCATCCTGCTACACGCAACCCCCCTGCAAAGCAGGGAAGCACTGTTCCCCTTATGGTACCAATGGAAATAAGGAGATTTCTCCAAGTTTATGCTGGGAGGCTGTAGCAGAGCTGGTAACTGAACCCACAGCTTACACGTGCTTGGCTAGTGCCCTCACATGAGCCATCCTTTCCCTCTATATAAATCAAGAGGCGTCCTGAACAACTCTGAGCTTGCCATGTTCAAACTCCAGATTCTTGGAGTCAAATCTCCACAGCTCTCACAATAAGTAATAGGCTACCTAAAACCATTAACTAGAGGTTACAGTAGGAGTAGAAGCTCTGTCTTACCCAGACTCCAGTGCAAACATATTTAACCCCTTGGTAACTGCAAGTTTGTTAATTTTTGCCTCCAGATTTTTGTCAATAACAGCTCTCTGGCTCCAAAGGTTATGGACATAGAAACGGAGGGTGGGAAGGGACCTCAGGAGGTCACATCTAGTCCAACCCCCTACTCAAAGCAGGACCATCCCCAACTATATCGTCCCAGACAAGGCTTTGTCTTCCCAGGTCTTCAAAACCTCCAAGGATGGTTGTCCTCCTGGCTGGGTAGATAGAATAAAATCAGAGAATCATAGAAAATGAGGGTTGGAAGGGAGCTCAGGAGGTCACATCTAGTTCAACCCCCTGTTCCAAGCAGGACCAGTCCCAACTGCATCATCCCAGACAGTACCAGGTCTCTTCTACAGACCAATGCCTGTCTTTTAATCTATTCTGTACTTCAGTTCCCCAAGAGGCTGAGTTAGGAATTGAAATTGGATATCCCATATCCCAAGGTGCAGACAAATAAAATATTTATATGAGTATCATTTACATCAGTTTGTGTGAACATGAAGCAGACAGATGACTATTTACAGAGTGTGCTGCCTTCAGTAGTTGCTGTTACAGTGCCTGGCTACTATGTAACGGAAAAAAATGATAAGCACTTGTTTCAGTTGAGAAAGAGTTACCTTGGGATAAAAGCAACTAGAGCCATGGACCTTTGCCTTATATGCTTGTGTAACTCTTGATTCTCAGAGGGTTAACTTTACCACAGAGGGTCATGAGTACAACCTGGACGTGGGGAGACAGAGTTCAGGAGTTGATGGTCTACAATACCAGAGGTGCAGAACCTGAAGCTGAGGTTCAGAGTATCAGGTATGGATCAGGGTTTTAGGTATTGTGGCAAACGTGGGAGTTCCCCAACCAGCCAGCTGGTCTCTTACTGCCTCAGGGCACTCTGACTGCCTCTCTCACCTGCCACGCCTTGCTGTTAAGTAATTATGGTCTTAAATAGGCGTGAGGCTGCCCTTCGAGGGCCCTGATGTCTAAGGGCTGTAAGTACATGCTCCTACCACTCCTTAATGTGTCCCATACTTCATAGTTGTTTCCAACTGCTGTGCTCTGCTCTGGCCTGAGGCCACACCCAACTCAGCACAGTGTTAGGTCTCTCGTGTTCTGCCCTATTATGGTCACATTTGGACCACTTCCCTCTCACTGAGGCCTTTCACTCCACTGGCTCTCGCCCAGTCTGTTTCAAACTGCTCGTCCTGAGCCTCGCTCATACCGCCCCTCTTTTCCCTAGGGCCACACTCACCCTGCTTTATCCCAGGGGGGTCCTCAGGCTTGAATCCCATCACTCCCCAGTCAGCAGGAACACAGCCTTTTGGGTATCTCCCACTACCCTCATCTAAGCAAGCTCTGGGCAGTTTACAGAACACTGGTCTGACTCAGCCTCTGGTCTCGCACTGGGTCACTCACCCAGATGCTTTCTGTCAAGGGGCTCTTGACTTGCCTTGTTGTTTTCCTGCTGTTCCTTTTCTGCTGCTGCACCCCACCCCCCCCTTGCCCCATCAGCCTCAGGCCCACCTGCAGCCTCAGGCACTCGAAGACTTACCTGGACCTAAGTCACTATTTTGATAGTGGGGTGACTGTCATGTGTTTTTCAGCCAACATGCCAGGAAGGAAGTGAAATCAAGCAGTCTGGTGTAACCCCAGGTCTCCTTCAGGCTTGAGCAGTTAACTCTGGTCTTGATCAGATTTGAACATGGCAAACACACATGCATTGTCCCATGCCAAGTTTTTGGATGAGTTCCTTCCAAGTTTGGTTTGACCTCTGATCTCCTGGGGCGAGCCAATACTGAAAAGTTATTAGACATATTCTGTTTTCAAAGGAGGAGCATATCGTGTAGAGCTTGCCCCTCTGCTATTTCAGGATATAGTACTAATTATTTTACAGTGCCCAGTAGTGTCCTGGGTCTTTTCCAATAGGACAACTTGGCTGTACCTCAAAAGGGTTACCATCTAACTGGTTAATGTACATGGCAGTCAGTCCACAGGTTCCCCCAAATTAGCCCATCCTGCCATAGCTATCCTGGTAAGGACAGTCTGACTGGTCAAACACTAGTCCAGGGGTGCAGACACTGGTATGATGTGTGACAAAGTGTGAAGCGGACATGCAGTGAAGTGAAACCCTACAGTGGCATCAGCAGGGATCTTAGCTTTCTCTGATAAAAAAAAATCCCCAATTTTCTGTTAAAAAAGTAACCCCAAATTCACATATTTCCATGATTAAAATGAAACATCACTAATATATAGATACACATATAGTGGTGTTTCATTTTAATCGTGGAAAAATGTGGATTTGGGGTTCCTTTTTTTTAACTGAAAATTGGGGACTTTTTTAAATCAGAGAAAGCCAGAATCCCTGGACATCAGTCACTCTATTGTGTCAGACCCCCTCAGGATTGAACCCAGGTCTTCTGGGATCATAGGTAGAGGCCTGGGCTGTGGCACCACCAAACAGCAGCCTGGCTTTTGAGACTAGCTCAACACAGGCCCTCCTATGAGGGTCCCCATGAAGAACCATGTGACTCAAGGGAACCAATGGGAAGCATGAGCCCTTGATAGGGGGGCTATAAAAACATGTCCACTTGCCTTGGGGCCTTTTTGGCAACAGTGGCGGTAGCTTGGTGGCAGCCTATGCCTGCTGCCATCCTGGCTGGAGAGAAAGATGGAGTGCAAAGCAGCCAGAGGGAAAGAGGGATGTGGAGAATATCGAGAGGGTCCAGAGGAGGCCACTAGTGTGGTTAGGGGCCTGCAGACAAGGCCCTACGAGGAGAGACTGAGGGACCTGGATCTCTTCAGCCTTCTCAAGAGAAGGCTGAGAGGTGATCTTGTAGCTGCCTATAAATTCATCAGGGGAGGGCAGCAGGGAACAGGCGATGCTGTATTTACTAGGGCACCGCCTGGAGTAACTAGGAACCCTGGCCACAAATTGACGGAGAGCATATTTAGGTTGGACATTAGGAGTAACTTCACAGTAAGGGTTGCCAGAATCTGGAACGGGCTCCGAGGGAGGTGGTGCTCTCCCCTACCCTGGGGGTCTTCAAGAGGAGACTGGACAAACACCTGGCTGGGGGTGTCTGACCCCAGCTCTCTTCCCTGCCCAGGGCAGGGGGTTGGACTCAATGACCTACTGAGGTCCCTTCCGACACGAACATCTATGAATCTATGAGTTAAAAAGTTTCCTGAGCAGTCACACAGCAATGCTTCCTACAATCGAAATACAACCCATCCTAAGCACCAGAGCCGTTGAAGGCTGGCGGGCTGTAGTGTGCCACGGGGGCTGGGATTGACAAAGAGATGACACACAAGCCTCTCACCACCCCGGGCTCTTGAACTGACTCTGTTTCAGGAGGGATCAGGGAGCAAAGAAGATCTGATTGTCGGACCTAGCCTCAGCAATGCATGAGTCTCCTAATAGTGTTGCCTCCCTGGAGCAGCCTGATGTTAATTCAACATGTGTTAGGTGGCATGATCTGGAGACAGTCCTCACAGGAAAAGGCTTAATTTAGCAACACAAAAGCACTTTGCATGTTTTTTATTGTGTGGAAGTTTGGATTCTAGTGTTTTAAGTGCAGTTAACACATGCCAAGGATGCTGTGTGATCAGGCCCTGACTTGGCTAGTGCCCTTGCTGTAGAGCAGTGGTTCTCAACCATTTTAGACTCCAGACACCCCTTGTTATCCTCAAGGTCCCCCTCAGAAAATGCCAGTTCTTTGCTTTCCCTCACTTTTTGACAACCGAAAAGTACTAGAGCAATTTCTCTGTTGCACAGAACTCGGAAGGACCCCAGCAGGGCAGAATGGCTTGGACACGGTGGGTTCCTATTTGAAATCTCTGGGTTTCTCTTGTGAATTGTGTGCATTTGCACACCTAATAGTGCAACCCTTATCACCCTTAAAAAGATCTCATGGCATCCCAGGTTGCGAATCGCTGCTGAAGAGGAAATGAGTGAAAGCAGCACATAGGATTTTCACTTCCAACCGTGGAAGAAGCCAACTGGCTCAAGGTGAAAGCTCCACTGAATCTGGGGGAGAGAGTTGTGCACGTTCATGCTTAGCAACATGGAGGATGTCTCCACCTCTCCACCACCAGTATCTCATTGCTCCTTTGCATTGCTGAACCATCCTGTGTCTCTTATCAAATGCCACCTGGGTTGTTCCAGTGGGTGGGTGCCATCTCAGAGAGTGACAGAGCACCAAGATACAGCCGAGGTCAGGCCAGAAGGATGAAGGCTGAGGAGAGGATGTTTGGGTGGCAGCCAACAGAGTGGCTGTCAACGTGGTGCCCTTCTGGAGCCTGGAAAGGGGGCACACTCCCGTGGGAAGAAGGCTGCCGACTTGCTCTTTTCAGCACCGGAGAAGCCAATGACTCCCAGAGATACTCGTCTCTTCCAGACCCGTTCCCCATGGCGCAGGCCCGAAAGCCACCGTAGCAAAATGCTTAGCATAAGCCACTTCATTTTGTGCCTTGACATAACAAACGCCACTAACTAAAAACAA